CCCCAAACCCTTGCGTTGCCGTAACCCACTAGAGAGCCCCAATCTCCAGCCCAAAGCAATGGCTCCGAATATTGTCAGAAGCCGCATGCCCTTCCTAGTCTCCGCATATCCATGCTATAGTAAACCTAGAATGTACAGCGATGGCCCTAGATCCTATAACCTCCCTAGAGCCTCAACCCTCAACCCGAAAACCCTGATATAGTGGCCTTAATACATATTCTAGATATAGTATAATGTACCCCAAAACCCCAAAACCCTATTCTAACTATTAAGGCTCCTACTTTGTCCGAACCTATCATAAGCCTAACCAGAACACCGTCCGAAGGATGGGCCTCGGCTGTCTTCTCGGAGAGGCGCCGCTTCTCCAATTCCTTGCGGAGGGCGGCTTAGCTTTAGGGTTTATAGGGTTTAGGGCTTGTAGGGTTTAGGGTTTAGGGTTTAGAGATAAGGGTTTAGGGTTTAGGGCCCTGAGGGCTGCTCATGAGGATTATGAGAAGTGTTACTAATAAGGACGAGAAGGGTTACTAATGAGGACTACGAGACGGGTGTTACTGTGGAGACTATCTTCAGGGTTTTTATAAGGGTCACGATAAGGAATACCAAAACGGGTTGCTACAGGGCTACAGGGTTACGATCAGGGACTATAAGTTTAAGGGTTTAGGGATTCAAAGGGCATTAAGGATTTTCAGGCTCCCTCTCTCAGGTTTATGGTTTCAGTGCTTAGGGGTTTAAGGATTTATTTGGTGATTTGGGGGGGCTTAGGCATTTGGGGTTAAGACGTTTAGGCATGTCTGGAGTTTTCGGAATTCAGGGGTTTATAGGAGCTGTTTTCTTGGGATTTCGATGGGTTTAGGCTTGGTTGGATACAGATTCTATTGAGTCTTTTTGTGCGCGGGTCATGTCTTGCAGAAGGAGTGGAATAACCGCAAAAAGAGGTTGTGGCGTCCTGCATGCTCGTTTTGCTGTTCGTAACGTTGGTTTGGGACTCTGTATATATAGTGCCAGAAATAGTGCGCTGCTACATGCACCTGTCTGAAATGCACAAAGTAAAGGTCTTTGCGGTCTTAGCGTGTTGTGTGCCCTCTTGCCATGTTACAATGTTGACACAAGCTTCGCAAGCAGGCCATCTTTCACTCACTGAACTCGCGGCAAGGCGTTTTGCCTTCAAGGTTGCTCTGCAGAGGCAACTCTGATGTACTGAGTAACAGTAGTACTGACTCCATCCTCTCGTCGGCTTACGAAGCAGGCGCGCCTGTCGGAACAATGGGCACACCTTCGTCGCGAAGTCGGCAACCGCCTTTCTTCAAAAGCATTCAACACATTGTAAATAAGGCCAGGGGCCCAAAGGCATGTGACACCCAGCTCGAAAGCCTAACAAGGGGTTGAAAGCCACCAAAGTTTCAACAAACAGATCCTTTCCTTCTCACCAACGATCCCCAAGGAAGCGCGTTCTGCTCCAACGCAAATTCCTGCATGCACTCCCACAGGGCACCTGCCGCAGTGCGAGGTTTGGCACCAGCTCCTGGCGCCAGGGAACGAACAACGCGGCGTGTCCCGGCTTTGTGCATGTGCGGGAAGTCTGTGAGGATTGGTTGCGGGCTTAGTGTTCGGCTGGCTCCTCATGACTCGGTCAGACGGCATGGCCAATGCAGGCTGCCAGCCCAGCGGCCTAAACAGCCTAAATATTGTCGAAACCCCGGATTATTCAGCTCCATAACATCAAGCTCCCATGTCCGCTACCTTTTTCCGCAAAGCGTGGCCTTTGAGCGAAGTGACAAATTCGTGAGCGGCGAGGTGCAAGATCCTTGGCGAAACCACTCCTGGCAAAGCTAGGCTTTAGGGTTAAGGTTAAGGTGTAGGATTTAAGGGTGCAGGGTTTGGGGTTTTGGTGTTTGAGGTTTGGGGTGGTTGGGATGCCTTGGGTCACGAGTGCCTCGCTATTGCCCGTCTTTTGTGCCAAGTTTTTCGAACCTATACTAACTTGTCTATCAGTCTGCGAGCCGATAAACATGTATATGTAAATATGCGTAAATTGAAAAGCACACTGTGACATGCATATTATATGAACACATTATAAGTTAGATGCGCCAACACATGCAAACGCAAGAAAACGCCTATTGAATGAGCACATACACAACTATATATGAATGGGTGTACATACAGATATCAATCAATATATATATATATATGTGTATAGATATATATATACACACACATACATCTATATATATATATATACACACACGTACACATTCATATGTGTGTAATTGATACAGTAGCAGGTTCGCATACTTGCATGCAGACAGGAAAAGTAGGAGTCTTTGCTGATGCATCGGTGTCAACTGAGCCCAAACGCTTCGATCTTGACGTCAGGCTCGCGATGTCTCCAAACACTCGATTTCCTTCCTTGAGTTCCGGCCTTAAACAAACGTAGGGTTTTCGGATTTCAGGGGGTTTAGGGTTGCAAAGGTGTAGGCGGCCTTTAAGGTTCGTAATGCTACAGGCAGCCGGTGTAAGATCGGCAGAAAGACAGGCTGCATGCGAGACGCTGTGTCCACCCTGAATCATGTACCCTATCTGCATACATATAGCAAAAATTGTGTACATGTTTGCACCTGCATGCACGACCCAATAAACACAAAACTAGACACATGTACATATACATATATTTATGTTGGTGTGTGTATATATATATATATATGTAAATGTCTAAATGTATTTACGAAGGTCTAAACCCTGCGAGCCAGACAAATGTGCATTTCTATAAGTAAATGGTCTGTGTATGAGGTATGTATGTATGTATGTATGTATGTAGTATGTATGTGTGTGTATGTATGTATGTATGTATGTATGCATGCATGCATGCATGTATGTATGTATGTACATATGTATGTATGTCAGTAGGTACGTATGTATGTATGTATGTGCACATGCATGTAATGCATGTAATGCATGTGTGTGTGTGTGTCTGTCTGTCTGTCTGTCTGTCTGTCTGTCTGCCTGCCTGCCTGCCTGTCTGTCTGCCTTTGTGTGTATATGCGTATATATATATATATCTGTGTGTGTGTGTGTCTGCCTGCGTGCGTGCGTGCGTGCGTGCATG